GTCTGTGTGTGTGTGCGTGTGTGTGAGTCTCTCTGTGTCTGTGTGTGTGTGTGTGTGTGTGTGTGTGTGTGTCTGTGTGTGTGTGCGAGCCATCAGACGGTCAGCTGGTGACTGTGAGTCTAAACTTCACACATGGACTCCTCCTCCTCCTCCTCCTCCTCCTCCTCCTCCTCCTCCTCCTCCAGCAGCAGCGGGGTGAAAAGCGGAGGTCTCTGCAGCTGTCACAGACAAACCTGTGAGGGGGCTGCCCACAGGGGGCGCTCCTGAGCTGTTGGGGCTTTGCTCACGGGCCCCTCGGCAGTACTCGAGAAGTGCCCTGACCTGCCACCAGACCAACTTCAATATTTTGGTCCTCACCGGGACTTGAACCGGCAACCCTTTGGTTCCTAACTGCCGACCCCCGTGGGGCTACTCCGCCCCTAAAAGTCTCAAACTGGGAAACAGTGAGATTATTATGAGCTTTGATTCTCATTCTTTCTGAGAGGGGCCCTTTGAATAATTTGTGTTTTTTTAAAGTTGGTACATAAAACTTATTTTGACGCACCGTAATTCCACTTCCTGCAAAGTGATGAATGTAAGTTTAACTAGAGTTTATTCTCTGGTGGTCCTTCCTTCACAGCTCGGCTCTCGATGAAGAGCTGGACTGATACTGAATATTCTCTCTACCCCGTCTTTAATGAGCTGTCAGTCTGACATGTTTGGGACTCTTACAGCGCTGCCCTCAGCTGGTGGGAGGCTGTAACTGCACGTGGAGCAGACTGAACTTTGTGTGTGTGAGATACACTGCTCTCAGTGTTTACAGCTAAATCTGCAAAACCTGGCTGTCCCCGGGAGGCTTTACAATGAATCACTACACATTCACACACTGATGGTAGAGGCTGCTGCGTAAAGAGTCCATCAGTATTAACTCATCCATTCACACACTGATGGTAGAGGCTGCTGCGTAAAGAGTCCGTCAGTATTAACTCATCCATTCACACACTGATGGTAGAGGCTGCTGCGTAAAGAGTCCGTCAGTATTAACTCATCCATTCACACACTGATGGTAGAGGCTGCTGCGTAAAGAGTCCGTCAGTATTAACTCATCCATTCACACACTGATGGTAGAGGCTGCTGAGTAAAGAGTCCATCGGTATTAACTCATCCATTCACACACTGATGGTAGAGGCTGCTGAGTAAAGAGTCCATCGGTATTAACTCATCCATTCACACACTGATGGTAGAGGCTGCTGAGTAAAGAGTCCGTCAGTATTAACTCATCCATTCACACACATTCACATGCTGATGGTAGAGGCTGCTGCGTAAAGAGTCCATCAGTATTAACTCATCCATTCACACACTGATGGTAGAGGCTGCTGAGTAAAGAGTCCATCAGTATTAACTCATCCAGTCACACACTGATGGTAGAGGCTGCTGTGTAAAGAGTCCGTCAGTATTAACTCATCCATTCACACACTGATGGTAGAGGCTGCTGCGTAAAGAGTCCATCAGTATTAACTCATCCATTCACACACATTCACACGCTGATGGTAGAGGCTGCTGCGTAAAGAGTCCATCAGTATTAACTCATCCATTCACACACATTCACACGCTGATGGTAGAGGCTGCTGAGTGAAGAATCCATCAGTATTAACTCATCCATTCACACACTGATGGTAGAGGCTGCTGCGTAAAGAGTCCATCAGTATTAACTCATCCATTCACACACATTCACACGCTGATGGTAGAGGCTGCTGCGTAAAGAGTCCATCAGTATTAACTCATCCATTCATACACATTCACACACTGATGGTAGAGGCTGCTGCGTAAAGAGTCCATCAGTATTAACTCATCCATTCACACACTGATGGTAGAGGCGCTGAGTAAAGAGTCCATCAGTATTAACTCATCCATTCACACACTGATGGTAGAGGCTGCTGCGTAAAGAGTCCGTCAGTATTAACTCATCCATTCATACACTGATGGTAGAGGCTGCTGCGTAAAGAGTCCGTCAGTATTAACTCATCCATTCACACACTGATGGTAGAGGCCGCTGAATTAAGAGTCCATCAGTATTAACTCATCCATTCACACACTGATGGTAGAGGCCGCTGAGTAAAGAGTCCATCAGTATTAACTCATCCATTCACACACTGATGGTAGAGGCTGCTGCGTAAAGAGTCCGTCAGTATTAACTCATCCATTCATACACTGATGGTAGAGGCTGCTGCGTAAAGAGTCCGTCAGTATTAACTCATCCATTCATACACTGATGGTAGAGGCTGCTGAGTAAAGAGTCCATCAGTATTAACTCATCCATTCACACACATTCACACACTGATGGTAGAGGCTGCTGAGTAAAGAGTCCGTCAGTATTAACTCATCCATTCACACACATTCACACACTGATGGTAGAGGCTGCTGAGTAAAGAGTCCTGATTCTGTATTTCAGCCCTGTTCAGAACAGGCTGTTTCTGTCTCGTCACAGATTCTGCAGCTTCTATTTCTTGATTTCTCTCTTTATCTGAAGTTATTTCTGGCGTTTTGCCGCGGCGTCACCTCGAGCGTCTCCTCCGGGAATCATTGAAGAGTTTTTTCTGTTCTTGTGATTTCTCCTCGTCCGTCTTCAGAAGTCACAGATGAGGAGGAAAGTGACGATCCGTTTATAGAAACGGGAGAGAAAAGAAGCTAAATGCAGAGACATGTTGTTCTCGCTTTAATGAGTGTTGGAGCTATTTAATTGTTGTTAGAATTAGTTTATGTATTTAGTTGACTGATATTTTGTTTATTTAATTATTCTACATGTTTTCTTTATTTAGAATAGATTTTGTGTAATATTTTCTTTTGCTAGTTGTTTGTTTAGTAAATGTAGTTTTGCATTAGTATTGTTAGGTATGTAACACTGTGGGCACCAGAGGTTATTTAGGTAAGAGGCAGGTAGAGGACCAGCATGCACCTGGGTGGGCAGCAGGAGCCACCATTTTCTTTGTTCTTTTGATTGCTTTCTTTTGAACCAAATAAATCACCAGAAAACCGCAGAGCTCTTGCATGGATTACAGGAGTACATCACATTCCCATGATGCATCAGAGGGCATTTGTTGTTTGATATTAGTTTATTTAGGTTTCTTTTTGTTTTTGGACAAATAGCCACTACAGTGAGTGAGCGTTCTTTCTTTACCGCACTAAGGAGTCCTGAATGACTGGACAGAGTTACACAAGTATTTAATAAACCTTTATTAATATTTCAGAAATATTAAAACCTCAGGACTCGTGTCCACCTGGCGTTCGTTTCTGAGTGCCAGCGTCTTCTGAAAGGCGCTGTTGACGTCACCGGTGCTCTTTTCAAAATGTTTGATATTCCCCGTATAATTTAGTCTCCTACAGATCGTGTCTTGTCTCCTCCTCGTCCGTGTCTGATCGATCTCAAATATAAAACATGCAGTGAAAGTAACGGAGCAGTGTCGGTCATAAAGCGGTCGTTATCAACAGACTGTTGTCATGGAGACAGGACGGACGTGCAGCACTTTTCTTCTAAGAGTGTAAACGCTTCATTCAGTCGCTCCAGAGCGGACAATGTTGCAGAGGAATTGTGTCGTTCTCATATTTGTTTGAATAAATGAACTTATATTTATCAAACTACAGAGGTCACATCTGAACCTTTACAGAAAAACACATTTAGAAATATTTCAGAGGATTGTTTGCTTCTTAAAGGGATACTTCACCCATTAGCATTAATCTTTGTATCATTAGAAATCTGGTAGTATTTTTGAATGCTCGTGCATCCCGCCCTCATTTTCCCCTGAGATGTGAAATCTTTGTATTTCTGAGTCTGAAAAGGAGCTTCCAGTGACGCTAAATGACCATTTTTGCGTCACTGGAAGCTGTTGCGGTTAGCGGGATGAAACTACAACGCTAGTTCCTCATATTTTTGACCACTGAAGCTACAGACCAATCACAGATCAGTGGGTGGGAACTCACTCCCAGAATCTAAACTTAACGTCCGCCATATTGCTTGGAAGCTAAGCTAACAGGCTCTATGGAGAAAGCTGATAATGGCCAAAAAATATAAATATAACGGCGAGACGGCTGCTGCCAACAGGCCGCAGCAGCCGAGAAACAAGACCGGCCTGTCGGCAGCAGCCGTCTCGCAGCTATATTGCCGCTGCCAGCTCAGCAGCCGAGACATAAGGCCTGCCTGTCGGTGAGGACGAGGAGCCGGGGCCGGCTGCAGCGGACTGGTAGTGTCTGTGCTCTCACTGTTTGTCTATGACCACAGACATAGAGTCTGTTTTCTGACAGGAATTTACAAGATCAATTCTGGAAGAAATCTCTGAATCAGTTGAGGAAACGGTCTCGTGTTGAAGTAAATATGTCTGTAAATGTTTTTATTTCTATATTTCTCCTGCTATATTGTATATTTTGGAGAAACTGTATCGATCGAATTTCCCTGGGATTAATAAATGTTTCTGATTCTGAACTAGAGGACCTTAGTGGGAGTGGCCTGTGGTGCTGTGCATTCTGGGATTTGGTGTCTGTCATCAAAAGACACTTTCTGTCTTTTCTCGGTCAAGAAGGCTCCAACTTCAAAATGTATTTCACATTTCTACATATATGACCCAAAGTCAACACAGACTCATGTTTCAACGGGTGAAGTATCCCTTTAAGGACTTTTCTTCAAGGTGATCTGAAGTTTGTATTCGTCTTGTTGGAGAGATTAAAACGCATTACCTTGTCAGATATTGTTTTTCTCACCATCTGAACGACACATCGAGACACTTAATGTGTTTCCAGTTGGAGCCGGAAGAGAACCTTAAAATCCTGCAGCTGTGGAGTTATTGGACTGTGACGTCCGAGTGGACTGACTCTCTCTCTCTCTCTCTCTGCAGCATGTCGGAGTCTGAGAGAAGTAGGCCAAAGATCGTCATTCCTCTCGGCTTAAGCTGAAGAGAAGCGGCTCAAACAAAAGGCGGCACAGAGACAACAAGTGTGGAAACAAAAAAAGACACGAGCGGGACCAGCAGTTATCAAAGATCTCCTTCATTGTTTTAATAGTAGACATTGTGCCACAAAAATGTCATGTCCGCAGCCACAAATCACGTGCCGAGATTACTACTTCCAGCTATGCATCATGTCATTCGCTTCACTTGCTTTTCTCTACACAAATCACTTCTTACATTTATGTATAAATATATACAGGTTATAGATTACTCTCCAGCTGGGGTGGTGATTTGGACGCCTCCGGTCGTGGTTGTGCTGTCGGTTGAGAAACATTAGCAGAGAGAAAAAAAAAGAACACGCGGCGTCTCCCCGATGTAGCACATGCTTAACCAGTCACCAGCCGAGCACGCACGGCGCCCGACACAGGAAGCGTTATATACAGGAATGTTTTCTGCTATCATACAATTCTTTAACACGCCGCCGCTGAGGGCGAACGGAGGGGAAGATGGCGACAACACGAGAGCACCGAAGGCATACATGTCGTAAATCTCCTGCCGCAAAGGCACTGGCACATCGTTTAGTTTAAGTTTAAGGGGGCGCCGCCGTGAAGTCGGAGCGGGGCGACCGTTAAGCGGGAGGCGCAGTTTGAGCCGGCCGCTTCATGACTGCAGCTGATCACATGCAGAGTCGAGAGGGGTGGGGTGGGGGTGGGGCTGGGGGGGCATGTGATCAGCTGGGACATGCGTGCTGCTGGTGTTTAAGCATGTGCTTCATCTGACGAGCTCGCTGATTCAAACACAAACGAGGAGACAGGGAGGCGCTGCGACTCGCCGCCAAATAAAGACAACTTTGTGTGGTTTTTTTTAATAACAGTTTTAGAAAAGTGACTCGTCTATCAAACTCAGAAGAAAAAAAAAAAAAAAAAAAAAGAAGGAGGGGGGGTCGGGGGCGAAACGATAAGAAAACAGAAAATAAAAAGCAAAGCTGAATAAGACGTGTGCTCTCATTGGTTAACTTCACACGCTGCTCTAAACGCTTTACATTGGTTTCCAGTATGAGTGTGTTTCATAAAGTTAGAAGAAAAAAAAAAGAACCGCCCAGAGTGTGTTCGGTGTGTGTGTGTGTGTGTGTGTGTGTGTGTGTGTGTGTGTGTGTGTGTGTGTGTGTGTGTGTGTGTGTGTGTGTGTGTGTGTGTGTGTGTGTGTGTGTGTGTGTGTGAGGGGGAGGGGCTTACCGTCCTATTGCTGACTTTAATAGGGTTTTCTTTTTTTAAAAGGGGGGGGGGTCTGGTGTTGTAGCTGCACACACAATTACAAACCGGTCCGCTCAAAGTCTTCTTCCTCCTCTCTCTCTCTCTCTCTCTCTCTCTCTCTCTCTCGCTCTCTCTCTCTCTGGTCGACGCCCCCTGTGGAGCATGGTAACGTTGAGACTGGTCGTGGGCTCGGGGGTGGATTCAGGTCGTGGCTGTTTTTTTTTTTCGTTTTTCTTCTTGGGGTCTCAGCAGCAGCCTCCGGACGAGGTGTTGACCGGCTTGCTCTGGATCCTGACGTTGGACTTCTCCGAGGATCCGGCCGTGGCCCCCGGGCCCATCCTCTTCTTGATCTCCGCCGCCATGGTCATGAAGGCTTGCTCCACGTTGGTGGCGCTCTTGGCGCTGGTCTCCAGGAAGGGGATCCCCAAGTTGTCTGCGAATTCCTGGCGAGGAGAAAGAGAGGAGGAGTTAAATACTTTTGACTTCCTGGAAAACGGCTCAAACTGTGCGCAGAAGATTCTTTACGGGGAGGCGGTTTCTAACGCCGCTTCAGCCGGGCGCTCCGGTTCACTACGGTAAACCCTGATCCCGCTAACTAGGAGCTACAGCCTTCAAGTTACTCTCTGTACATCCTCAGGATATTTAAACATGCCGCGTTTTGTGTTTCCTGTCTCACAGGAAGTGAAGATTCTTTTGACCTATCAACGGGCTGCAGTGTGTCTAGCTCCGCCCTCTAGGGTCGGATTGGTACGCTTAGCGCCCCAACAGAGGGGTAGTAAGTGTTTTTGGTACCATTACCAACTGAAGTGAACCGGAGCGCTCGGTGGAAACGACAGGGGGTTTAAATCTGGTTGAGCACGCAGCAGCAGCATCACGGCGTGCTGACTTGCTGACCTCTCACCTTAGCTGTGGTGTAGTCCACCACCTTCTTCGTTGTGAGGTCACACTTGTTGCCTACTAGCAGCTTGTTGACGTTCTCGCTGGCGTAGCGGTCGATCTCCTGTAGCCACTGTTTGACGTTATTGAAGGACTCCTGAGGACGGGGAAGCAAAAACAGCATGAAGAGTGAGAAACGCCGCCGTCTGCTCAAAGAGTCAAAGGTTACTGTTAAACATCACGCGGTCTGCAACAGAACCTGCAGAAATACATTCACAGTTTTTGGGGTTTCAGAGGGAACGAGTTTCCATCGTGTTCATCAAAGTCCACGATGGTCAGTAAGGGCGTTTTCACATTAGGCACGATTCCACGGTACGAGTACGGGACACTTGTGTTCACACTGATTAAATGAGCCGGACTTTGGGGTCAGGCGTACTCAGATCCGGGGCCCCTAGTGCGAAACCCCCCTCAGTGTGAGGCTGAGTTTGTGATCCTGCTAGCTACCTGTACGCTCGTCGATCTCTCCGCTCACCTGTTGTCTTTTCAGTAAAGAAACAACACGTCTCTTTGTCTCTCTGAGGAGGATTTGTTGTTCCTTCTGTTTTGACGTCATGTTGATAAAGAGAGGGAACATACGATCAGGAGTCTGATTGTTGTGTTTTATTTTGAAATTGACCGTACGCTCTGTGCGTTTCCTCGTCTGACTTCCTGTCCGGATCGATCTATTCTGTCTATTCTTGACGCGTGTTTACAGCGAGCTCAGTTGAAAATGTCTGTTTAAAAAAAAATGTTGCTTTAGGACTGTTTTCTGACCCAGGACCAGCAGAAACTGAAGACTGCTATAAAGATTTGTACTTGTGTGCTGTCTCTTCAGTCGATTTGATGTTCTCGTAACTCAAGTTGCTGTTATACTTTCCATCCACAGAGCACTTTGGTGGATGCAACAGTGGGATTTGTAGTTTTTAATTTTCTAAATAGATATTAAGTTTTTAAATAGATATAGCAGAGCATAGAGGCGCTGCTGGCACGCTCTGGAGACGGACCGCGGCGCTCGCTGTAGAAACACGGTCATTGAGTAGAGTGACAGCGAACGGCGTTGTAGTGCGGCCTCGTGCCTTTCATCTGATATTGCTTAAATATATATTTATTTCTTAATTATTTTGATTTGTTAAATTCCTTTCTCTACGAACGATTCTGTCTGGACTTTTCTGTTTTTTTTCCAGTCTCATCCGTTTAATCTCTTTAATGAGACCGAAAGACTCAACTAACAGAAATTCACCTTTTTTTAACAATAAAGAGGAGTAAAGAAGAAGAAGTCTCGCCGGTTGTTCTGCTGTGATAAGACTTTTCAAATTTGCAGAGCTCAGAGAGCACGCCGCGTGTCGGCTCCGTCTGAAACACTCCCTCACTCCCTTAATGTGGGCGAGCTACGGGGGAATCCAAACATCCAAAACTTCAGCTAGGCGAGGCCGCTTCCCATGTTCTTCTACTGAATCAGAGAGAACAGCTTTTCTACCCCGATCGATCCCTGTGTTTGTTCCTTTTAAACGTATAGCTGCTGAGCGTCATGTCTGAACAAACCAGATCAGGAGAATATCCGGAACAATCCTCCAGAAATGATCAGGATATTTTCCGGAGTGCAGATGTGAAAATGGCTTCTGATGACATCTTTTTTTTTTGCATTGCTGCGGGTCACTCCTGGAGAGAGACCCCGGTCTCAGTGGGTCCTCCCTGAAGGTCAGGGTGACTGTAACCGGGCTCTGCTCAGTTCCTCCTCTTCTGTCTGAGGTGTTTTGTTGATTGGATCTT